TGCCTTGCCTTGCCTTTTGTCTTTAACTCCCATCATTCCGAAGACCCATTTCTTCCTTCTCCAGGTATGTCCAAAGCGTCCACACAAAAATAAAAATCATAACATCATCTTAGTTAACATCAAAATGCACACAAATTACAGTAAAAATTGTTGCACATCATGTTTCAAAATGCCATACTTGTTTATTAGGTGGATTGTATAACATAATTTAGGATAATTATACAGTAAAGGTCCATATTGATTTTCTTTTTGTATTCTGTTGTACAAGAAAGCCCAGTCTATAACTGCCGAACATAGGAACTGGGTACAGTACCTTCTCCCAGACACAAATACTCAAATCAAATAGTTTACTTTAAATAGTAAGCATTGGTATTACCAATGCTTACTATTTATTTGATACCAATTTGGTAATACAATTAATAAAAAGAACAATGTTTGGGTTCGTTCTTCAGATATGACTGTGACGTTAATGTGTAAGCTCAATAATGAACTCCAGCTCAACCAACCATATTGTAATATCTAAGTAATCATCTTGAAATATGACATTATTATTTGTAATATACACACATCTTATTGTGAGGTTGATTTCACATACACTACGCCGCTCTTCAACACTACTTTGACGTTAGCTTGTCTACATTTTTTCATTTTCATTTAATCGTTTATTTGAAGAGGGACAGTGCACATTGATGAACATTTAAAACAAATAATGCTTTAAAAACGTAAACATGCCGGATTTTAGCTTTGAGCTAGTTTCCATCCGTAGTCCCTCACATACAACATTTAATAATGACATAATCGAACATAGCGAATTTAAATGAACCTTAGTGATGCATACAGTTACCAACCTGATAAAATACCTCTAACTTACAAGGATGACCTTATTTTACCAACCCCATAAGCATGAAGAATAGTCCGCAAGGCACCTGCCCAACAAACACGGCAGAGTTCAAGTTATGTTCCCCGGATGAGCTGAGCAGGCAGAGTCCCTGTCGTATCACGGAGCTGCTAGCAGATTGACAGGAAGCTAACAACAGCAGTCACTGGAATGACCTGTCACTCAATGTGACCACGCCCTAATTTATGCATAACTTTAAGGCTTAATATAACTTAAAGGTCCCATGTCATGGCCATTTCCACTGATCATAATTACATTGTTGAGGTATACTAAAATAGATTTATACTGTGCAATTTTCCAAACTCACATTGGTTTCGCATACAGCATCTCTGTAAAGTATGTGTATTCACCGGTATTCACTCTCTGTCCTAAACGGCTCGTTGGAGCTCTTGCCCCCCCCTCCCTGTGAGCCCAGTGTGCTCCGATTGGTCAGCTCGGCCACTCTGTTCTGATTAGTCAACCACCAGAGAGACTCCGCCCATGTCTAACAGTGCTTTTTTCGGCTCGCTCTGAGCGGAACATCAGTCTTACAATGGCGTCGGTACAGCCGTATATGTTATACGCTAACTAACCGAACTGTACCTACAACTGTTGTTATAGAAGAGTAAGTTATTTTTACATGTAATAAACTACTACTGTTTGATGAGAAATCAAATCATGGTTTGCTATATATGAATGATATGTTATAGGAGCAAATAATTCAGGGAAGAAAGGCTACTAAGTATTTCCATCAAACTTTATTTTTAGAAATGTACAAAATGAACATGCGTAAATATACATATATACACTATATCATCCATTCCTCCCCTTATAGGCGTTTTCGGCATCTTGCCTATCGCAGCTTTGTAAGCTGGTGCCGGGGCTTTTTAGGACGAGGCATCAGAGTGGTCATCCCGTCATGTGTTGTCCGCCAGATACGCCAGGAGTTTCCTGATCTGGCTGGACGAAATCAAATGCAAATCACAAAATATTAGAGAAACTTAGTTGTTTTAGATTCGTTAGTAGTAGTTGTGGTAGGAGTGTGTATCTCCTACCACAACCTAGTAGCCCGAAAAACGTTTACCCATTTAAACAGTCGTGGTAGATACCTTGTTTGTTTTAAACATCATAAATACACAAACAACAATGAATACTTACAGGTTGTGTACCCGAATCTCCCGCTGGTCCAAACAAAGTAGGAACAGCATCGTTCTTCAGTGCCCTACGCTGTACATATCCGGCATGAATCGCTGAAAGGTTTGGGAAGCTTTGTTTTGTGAAAGGCTGGCAGAGGGTGTGGCCTCTGGGTATTCACACGTCACAGTCCCCAGGAAGAAAATGAGAAATCTCCAACGAGGCGTTTTGGGGAGGTCTTTTCTGTGTTAGAGTTTTACTCTCTACAGGGTGTACTTTGAGGGTTTTTGACTCTGCAGACCGTTTACATGCATAAAAACCTTCATAACACACAAGGGGACGGGTAATAACCTGAAAAGCATGACATGGGGCCTTTAACACTTTACAAGGCTCCCTTTTGGCAGTTATACATATTAGTAACTCATAAATAAATGGTCATAAAGAGATGCCAAGAAACATCAAGATGGATGGGGGGAGAATCAACTCAGTGAACAACAAATACCAAGGATGCTGGCTGATGAAGAAGACGAAGTAAGCTAAGTAGCCAATATAAGGCTTAGTCATCTTGCCAAATAGTGAGCCTGTGTTGATGTATGAAAACTATTTTAGAACTGGTTTATAAATGGTTCTTAATGATTGATAAAGTGTTTACAACCTAATTAATAACCTAATTATAAACCCTTTATGAATCCTTTATAAGGGTAGTCTTAATGTAAAGTACCAACATATTTATAATCAAATATAATTTAAAGTAAAGTTTACAGTTACTATTTGCAGATTATTATGTTCAAATAGCATTGTAGAAAGTGTTACTGAAATATTAAAGTTACAGCTATGAAAAGTACTCCATTATTACAGATTACACTGGCAAAATGTATATAATTTAGATCATATTTGCTTCACCTTAAAATTCTGTAAGTAACAAAAACACCACTATATATTTTATCATACTGTACATCATAACAACATTCTGATGTTAGTATGAACACATTTTTAATGCAGGCATTTACTTTAAGTTTAGATTTTTACGATATCAAGTACATTTCATATATACTTTATATCCAACATTGACACATAATAGGGCTGAAGTTGATCAGTAACAACCTTAGCCTATAAAGCCTGATCTGTTCTCATCACAGAAGATCAGCAGTATTGTTGGCAACTTATTTAAACCAATAACTGACTAATTTGCAACATTAATTAAGAAGATCAACTAAATCAGCCTCCTTCTGATGACCTTCTCTAAAATAACTTTTCCAATCCTTTTAACAACACGTGGGATTGAGATGCCCCTCATATAACGTGTAACAGTTTGGAGGAATTCGTTTTTGCTGCCAATCGGAACTCCATACATGGTGTGTGTGGACTGGTGTCGATGTGTTCCATAAAAGAGAAGTGCCCTCATGTGAGGTCACGGTGGGTCCAGCTGTCCAGGGGGTCGACCATTGTCACCCACACACTGACCCCGTACGTGGCCTGGCTATTGATAACACCACACTCTGCACTCTGGCCTGTAAGAGCTTTTAAGGAGAACTTAATCAGCCGTAGACGATTCCTCACAGGTGGCAGCACGGCTCCAGGGATCTCAGTTTCATCAAATGTTTCATTTGGTTGTTTTTGTCCCAGTTCCACTGATGACAGCTGAGGTTCACAGAAATGGGCACCACTGTGACTCATGTGATCATCTCTGTGTATTATTTATTCCTGCTGCTGTCTGGTATTCAAGTATTACATTCACTTTGGTAATAGGTAATAAAAATGCGCTACCAACAATTTCAATCTGCCGTATGCTGCGACACTGGAGTAAAACGGGTTCAATTTTAGATGCTATACACAAGAGTCATTTCAGCATGTTCAATCTATTTTTTCTTACATTTAGGATTTAGTGACAGTTAAACAAACTTTGGTTGACTTTATTTTGCAATGCATTGACAATAAATAAACATTTAAACAGGTTTAACAATAAGTATTACATTTCAGAGAAAAAGAGTTTGCAATTCAAGTTTTTTTTATATTGTAGGTTATTGCTTTTTTGTATCTAAGCAATTTAACCACCAAAGTTAAGCATCGGTATCAAACACACTGAATCATTGCACGTGTTTTTCATGGATTAGTACTAAATCTAGTTCATGCCAGCTGAAGAAAATCCATCAATCCTACAGTCCATTATATTATATCCACGGTGATTTAGACAAAAGCATGACAAATGTGATCATATATGCTGATTATTGTACATTTAAATGATCAAGATATTTATCCGGCACACTTTTAGACACAATGTTATAATTTAAAATAGCATGTATCACAATTTAATCATTTCAAGACCAAAAGTCCTCATCAAAATGAAAGTCCACCAATGTATGCATTAAAGTACCTTGCAAAAGAAATCCTCTAATGCTGTCTATAGTAGATTTATCTTTATTTGGATAAAGAAATATGAAATATTGGCTTTAATTAAATGTATTATGTCAAGAAATTACACATAACTGTATTAGGTTAGTTGAATGCAATGATATTAAGTTTAAATAAAACATATTAGGTTCAACTTAATATTATTTCTTTAACCTAACCTGATACAATTATGTGCAATTTGTTGACATAATACATTTAATTCAACTCAACGTTTCAGTTTTTTCAGTTTGACCTCAAGCCATTATGTTACATCATTACAGTAACGTGCTGTGGTGTGCAGTCTTTGGGTTCATGGCAGAACATTTTGACAGAATACTAACTAGTTCCTTTGGGAATTATTTGAAATATATTCTTAAATCTGGTGAGGACATTTGAGAATATTCTTCCCCGCTTTGTCGTTGAATGCCTTGTCTCTGAGATACCAAACCGTTGGATAAATCACTTGCATGTGAAACAGCGATGTACAGTTCATTATATACACCTTACTCAAGTTGAATTAATGGCTGTCACTTGGATCTACACTGAAACACTGAAACATTGACTTTAATTAAATGTATTGTATTGTAACTGTTTTAGGTTAGTTGAAAGCAATAAAAACAAGTTTAATTTGATAGTATTGCTTTCAACTAACTTAATACAGTTATGTGTAATCTGTTGACATAAAACATTTAACTAAAGTCAACGTTTCAGTTTTTTCAGTGTAATCCCTTTGGACGGGTATGAGATCTGTGTTACGAGCAGAGTTTCTGTTGGATCCAAGCCCCCACAGTCGATTCTCCAGCAGTGTGCAAATGCTTCCCGCAGGCCTTCCCCACCAGGAACAGCACCTCTGCGATGTTGAGTATAATACAAACCCCCGACACAGTCAGCATGAACACGGTGAACACAGTTTTCTCGGTGGGCCTCGACACGAAGCAGTCCACGGTGTTGGGACAGGGGTACGAGTCACACTTCACCAGCCGGATCATCTTGTACCCAGGGTAGATCATGTAAAACAAATACATAAAGGTGACCTCAAAGCCGATGCGGAAAAACAGGCTGATGACGTACGTCCACCAGAGAGCCCCTGAGATTTTCATCTTCTGGGTCTTTATCATCTCCAGGTCTTTGGGGTTGGATCGCCCTGACAGTTTGTAGATCCTCTTGTCCACGTGGCGGCGGTGGGCCACGTGCATGGCCACCAACAAGGCAGGGGTGGAGACCAGGATGAGCTGCAGCGCCCAGAGGCGGATGTGGGAGATGGGGAAGAAGTGGTCGTAGCAGACGCTGTTGCAGCCCGGCTGCTGGGTGTTGCAGGTGAAGCCCGACTTCTCGTCGCCCCACACGCTCTCCGCCGCCACCACCAGGACCAGGATGCGGAAAATGAAGAGGACAGAGAGCCAGATGCGACCGATGCCTGTGGAGTGTCTGTTCACCCCGCTGATGACAGCATAAAACGATGCCCAGTTCATCTTTAGTTCCGGGTCTGATGGAGAACACATCATAGGACAAACAGCTGAGAGAGCATTGTGACGAATAAGCTTTTCCAGGACGAAAGGAATATAGTGAAACACAAGACAAAAGCCTAAGGCATTGAGGAACAGAAGAAAAAATGAAATCCTCAAAGAAAAGGATCAAAAGAACACACACCAATAAACAGAGAACAATACAAATATATTACAACAAAAACAAACGTTTTCCACACTAACATTTGTATTATCTCCCTCGTTTTGGGTCTTACTCTATAAAACTACAAAAATGGAACCACACTTCCCTTGATAATTATGAGGCCTTGTGATTAGATATTTAACTAATAATGTTTCCTTTTGCCACAGCCACACTTTTATCAAATATTCAGGGAAATAGAAGCTGGGGCGTGCACTCCGGGGGAAATTAGAATAGGAAAATACATTGTAACCTTTATGCATCTCCTTAAACGCAGATAGCTTAACATATTTAGTTGAAATATGTTTCCAAGCTGCTTCAATCTGGCCCCCTTTTTCAGAGAAGATTTTAAAAAGCTGAAAATAGAATGCATTGGCACTGAAAACAAAAGAATGTTTAATTAGTTCATTGACAGTTGACTTTTAAATTAAATGTCAATCAACAATTGCTAAATCAAGCTACTATTAGGAGATTTTTTCTTTCAAGCAAAATACCAAGTGTTGTATAGTTCCAGGTTCTCAATTTTTCCTTGTTCTGCGTGATAAACTAAATATGTTTGGGCTTTTGACGTCGGTCCGTCAAAACAAGTGATTTTAAGAGGTCTCCTTGGACCTCAGGATTTTGTGATCACCATTTTAAAATATTTATCAAAGTTCAAGCAATTAACAGAATAACTGTATAAGAAATTGGCAGATAAATAGATAGTAAGAATAACCCCGAAGCATCACAGTTAAAAAGTCACAAGTTCAATTTCCAATCTTCTTAACAGTCTTATCGATGCTTCATTAAAAGATTATTAAAGAAGCTAACATTTTTAAGAAGCAAACCTGAAAACAAAACTTCAGCCTAAGAGTACTATTTTAGATAAAAGTTCACGTAACATTAAATATAGTTCTTTGGATGCTTCCAAAATAATACCTTTCTTACTTTTTCTTCATCTTAGTAAAATGTTCCAAGTCCAGAAATAATTTCTAACCTATAAAGCATCAAATTGTTTTTCATTTCCTCTGTGCTGATCATTATTAATTGTGCTGAGTCCCCAACATGTCTGAATATCCAGACGAGTATAAAAGTGAGAGTTGTTACCCGGCTCAGCAGGAGGTGTAAGAGGCATAGGAGGCAGCGTAGAGGACAGTGTTGAGCTGCTGGTGTGGCATGGATGTGAATCCAGAGGAGAAGGAAGCCTATCTGCCCCCCTCAGCAGTTGGCAGGCCACTTAAGAGTGCAACACTGAATTCTGGCACCATGCGTCATGTGACATGCTTTCACCAGTCGCAATGTTGTAGCAATCAAAGAGGGCATCAGTGCCCAACGTATCGGTGTCCGTATTACCCTCAATTCTTGGAAAATTGTTTGTGATCCAAAAGTGTTGTGCATTAAATAAGAAATGTTCTAGTGCTAAACTCATGATACAGAGATTCTGAACTTGGTGAGTCAGGGACCGCAGTAAATGTTATTTCGTATGATTGTCACTATAACAATGGCACATTTGTCTTTGGTTAAAATATCTCAAGTAACAGTTTTTTAATGTGACTTTAACTGAACATCCAAAGAGTTTTCCAAACACCTCAGCCACGTTAAGACACAGATTTAACCATCCCAACACACTGAATGCAAACTGTCTATCTTGTCCTGAGCTGTATGATCTGAGTTAGAAATGGAGCACACTTACCTTCAGCTGTATTTTGGAATAAAGCACATCCAGCAGCATTTACGTTGACATTAGCAGATTTTTTTTGTTTGTCAATCCGTTACTGTGAACAAGAGTATCATAGCACCATGACTTTGCATTGCTAATGATTTCCCTCACACTAGCCACTGCCCTGCACTGGAGAGGTCATATGCTGCTGTGCGCAATATTTGCATACAATAGCCCCATTGACAGACACCAAACAAACAGCTTCAGAGTTCAGATCAAACGCTTTAATTTGGGCTCAGCTGAGGAATCTGTGTGGGGACTGCAGTCTGTCCTCCCGTCCTCATTGTGCTGTGTTCTGCATGGGAAGTGATGGGAGTTTTTGACGCAATAAGGAGTAAAGCATAAAAGGTCTAAAACAAAGAATGACCCATAACATCTAAAGATAAGAGAACAAGGGTGTATTATCATAATTATTATCTAGCTTTTTCGCCTCAACCTTTACATTCACATTGTTGCCCGCCTAACATCTAACCACTGACTCAACCTGCTCACTGTGAACTCGATGAGGCCACACTTTGACGTATTTTCCTTGGAATCCTTTTTTAACAACGCGAGGTCAACAATATGAGAAGTAGTTCACTAGCAGCTACAACTTCAAATACTACCTTCAATAACCTAAACTAAATGTAAATCTACATATGTTTAATGCATTTATACAAAATCCACACAAGCATTTTTTCAATAAAATTAAAAAGACAGTTTGCAGAATCAAACCATTCAATTATAGCCATTTTGATAAAATGTTTATTAATTATTGGTCAAAGTACAATAACGAGCATTTTCCTGCTCTCTCTCTCGATACAAAGTTGGGGTTTAAGATAATTTAAACTTGAATTTGGACAGAGTTGGACATCTTCAGAGTCACCTGTAGAATAACGGTTACCTCGCATTAGGTTTTGAATGCCCTTCTCTTTTTTGTTAGTGTGATTGTTCAGTTTAATACACTAGAATGCTTTGTAGATACTAAAGAAAGGAGACATGATTTAACATTTTATTTATGCATTCAGTTGTGTTTCTTCCTTTAAGAAATCTCTGACAGCATTCAGCCACCTCCACCTGAATGTAATGGACTGTGGGATTTGAACCTTTGCTGCTTTTATCAGGCGATACAAGACATCAAAGGGGTTCAGATCCAGCAGCGTCATTACACGGCATAATCAAAGCGTCAGCAACGACCACATGTTTTCTTATGGTCATAAACATAATCACATCTACCGTTTATCTCAAACAGCATCTGCAGCAGCATGGAGGGAAACTAACTCCATTTCTGATATGTAGCCAAACCCTAAGGGCCATATCTTACACCCGCCGCATATGTCATTGCTGGTTTCAGACTGATTTGTCATTTTCACGCAAGCTGTCTTTAAAACAAATGCACTTGCATCCATGTTCCCCCATGGAAGTGAGGTGTGGTCACAGGCATTGTTGGGGCATTGTTATCTCGAGGCAGCAAAAGCAGCCACACTGTTGAGTAGTAGGGAGCCCAATATAATACTTGTGGGACACCGTTATCAACAAGTAGAATTGATTGGAAGCTTTGTCAAAAACAGTGTAAACCCTTCGAGAAAGATGTCATCTGAAGATCAATGGAAACCACCATTTCTTTATATGAAATGGTATCAAAGGCAAGACACATTTTAAATCAGCGCAATGTCCATGCACTTACAAAAAGCAGCAAACATTGCGTAAGTGGAAATGCTGGTAAGGGCAATGCTGAATTGTAAGAACACATTTACTCAAGTACTGTGCTTATAGTATAGTATAATTTGATGTACATGTACTTTCTTGATGCTTCACACTTCTACTTCACAATATTTGTTCCAAAAATGTTGTGAAACTTTTTTTCCCCACTTCATATAACTGATAATTTTAATAACATACAAATGAACTAATGATCATACATTATAACAGATTAAGCTACCAAGCAGTGTGTTAAAAATAAGCACCACATTTAACAGCTGCTGCATTAAAGTTAAGGAACATTGATGCATCAATAATTATGATCCAGTAATATAATTGATATAAATGATGAATAATGAGTACTTTTACTATTGGTACTTCAAGTAAACTTTGATTCTTATACTTGTTTTACTTCAATAAAGGAACTGTGTGATGGGATGCCAAGCTGATTTATAATTACAGTAGAACCTGTTCTGGAACATTTCTATCACTCAGTTTGTTTTTTTGTAAATTAAGGCCTGAAGATTTCTCAGGTCCTTTTTAAAATATCAATGACCTAGAATACAAATGCAATTGAAACTGAAAAAAATGCTGTTTTACTTACAATGTAATCGGTGGATTTAAATTAATCAGCAACATTTTAGTGTATTTTCAGTGCTGCTGCACCCTGCTTCAGTTCAGTGTGAATGATGACATCTGCAGGTCATAAACAGTCATTGCAACATTTTAATAATTATGATCTTACTCAGCATCAGTCAAATCAGTGTAGGAGGAAGTGACAGTTCACTTCCAGCAATATGTTCAGTGAACCAACACCACATTCCTTAAATGATACACCTCAACACAAAGGCCAGCTAAATTATGAACACACCCAGTCACATGCAGGTGTGACCTGACTCACAGTGGAATAATACCTTTCTTGTGATATGTTCAGAGCCTCTCACATTAATATTTGTGCAGGTGTGTCTGTGTCATGAGCTTCTTTGCAGTTTAAATTGTTTTCCTCAAACTTACAGAGTGCTACATATTGAATTACTTCAAAGTCCACATTCACTATCTATGCCCGCAACAAAGTGTGTAACACAACCAAAAGGTATATTTAATAACTTAATATGGTTATATTGATCAAGTAAGTACCGGAGAAAGAATAAAGTATTCCTAGAAAGGTGGAAAAAATCGACATGATTTTATGTGACGGATTAAGAATGTTTTTAATTTAATATTTTGTATCTTATTTCCACTAAATGTTGCAACCCTTTATGGGGGACTCTGTTTAAGGTGACACCCACAATTTAAGGACATTTATAGAAACGGATGTGTGTTCTACATTTATTGCAACTCTTATTAACAATATTATTTACATTTAATTTTTAATTTTTTAATGTACTTATACATATATATTCCTCCCATTTCCTAGTTGTATTTACCAATTTAATTGTGCCAATTTATGAGTTCAGAATCCTTTATTACAATATGTCCGACAGCACTTGAAAGCAGCATCGTCAACACAATGACAGCAACTGTGCAGCAGCCCCTTTAAGAACCTCCTGCCTGGGTGTGGAAAAGGGAAGTTTGTGGAGTGTCCGCGTCCCATTCCGATTTGTGTTAGGCTCTTTGTTAAGATGTGGGACTTCGGGATGTGAATATTATCCCAGTTTGAAAACATTTATACACGATAACACGTATTCAGTGGTTTGATAGCATCCTGCTTACTTGAAAAATAAAAGAATGATTTCCAACCAAGAGTAAAGGACAAATGGAGGTGGCGCGAAAGTGTTGACATTTTGAAATGGGACGCGTCCAAATGGATTCTAGCCGCTCTTCTTAATCACGACACCGCAACAAGGAAAAAGTGGTAAGGAGGACCAGGATACAAATAAATTACAGTCCCAACACTGCGTCAGACGAGGGGAAGAGGGAAGTGAAATAAATACGGTGCGTCTTCACTGTTTAGTGCACTTCATTGGTGAACAGCTGCCGCCGCAGGCTCTCACGGACACCATGGTTCCTCTGATGAAAGTCGCTACGACTGAGCTACAATGACCAGAGTGCTGTAGACGAGCGTAGGCTGCGTGGCTCCCTGCAACAAATTCAGTGTTTCTATTGTCTAAAAACTCCCCTTGAAGATGGGGCATCCTCCTCTGGAGTTCAGTGACTGCTATCTGGACAGCCCGGAATTCAGAGAGACTCTCAAGAGTTATGAAGTGGAGCTGGAGAGGACCAGCAAATTCCTCAAAGAGTTGATAAAAGATGGCAACAGTGTGATCACTGCAATCAGAGGTAAGGATACTTCAATGTGACCTGTATAGTTTTGGAATCACTTGTTTTGAAAATTGCATGTCGATACTGTGGTGTGATGATCGAGAGCATCATTAGGGCCTTTTTTAAGGGCCTCCTGGATCAATGTGAGTGGGAGGGCACATTCAGGGAGGTGCTAGTGCTACCCTGGGAGAGGACCAACCAGCCTGCTCTGAAAGGTTATGGATCTGGTGCAGATGTGCAGGGTCAGCTGTTCTCTTCTTCTGCTGCTGCTGCTCCCCTCTCATCTCTGTGTGATGTTGACTAGACAGAGCAGTGACAGCATGATGCAGATGTGTATATTTGGGTCAGTGTGTCACCCATGAGATAACAATGTTTGTTTTGATTCCCAAGATAGCCTTCTGTCCATCTAAATCACCACCCCGGAAACAGAAAGTGTCATTGTAGGTGCTGTGGCAGTGCTGCACAGTGCTGAGGGTCCACTGTATATTCAGTCCAGAGAATAGCCAGAGGTCACGAGTGCTCTTCAATTGTTGGTGTACACTGCAAGAAAGCACTTCCTCAGGCCTCACTGCTCCATTACTGAATAACTTTCACACTTTAAAACACTTCAGCTGGGCGATTGTTGGATATGTTGTGCACTTTGTCTTCAATAAAAGCCTTGTCAAACTATTCTATTAAAGGAATACTTCACCCACAATAGGATCACATGTTTATCAGTTACTCGCCTTTTGTGAACTGCAAACCATCTAAAATAAAAAAGTATTCATGAGTGGAAGTAAAAGGGCTCTTTGTATAAAGAGTGAAACTATTTTAAAAAGCTACATTTACAAAATATCACACAAATTGTCTAATTTTTCCAATGGTATGCTCACTACTTCCAAAACGCATGCATTTTCACAGAAATCGTACAATTTAAAAACACACACACACACAAGCATTTAAAGAGACGTGCTAATTGCCAAAGTTGCAAAGTGTATTAATTTATCAGGTTCTTTTAAAAGTCATTCAATTTGTAGTTGCTTTGAACAATAATCCAAAATAAACACATTTAACAGACACACAGTTTGTATGGGAAAACCAATGTGGAATGATGGAAAGTTGTAAACTGTCCCATTACAAAAAATAGAAAGATGTTGAATATAATACTGGGTATGGTTGCCAAGTTCCTAATTCT